GACATGGTTTTAAATGGAAGGTAATCTGAAAGGGGGAAGAGAAGTTGGAGTTTCTCTGGTGATCTGAGAAGAATTAAGCAATGCTACCATAGAAAGAGAAAAACAGCCATGGAGACTTTCAAAATTTATTCCCCACTTTTGGGAACTTGTTTCTCTTCTTTGTTAATAGTCTACTATTAGACCATTGTGTCTGCTACCATGGTGATGCTAGGTGAATCTCCACCTTCCACCTAAGCTTTCCCAGTTCTGGGGCATAATCCTAGTCCACAGCTGGGAGTGTAGCCCATGCTAACCTGGCTGAGCCAGGGGAGGCACAATGACCTCCCTTTCCTCCCAGACACAAAGAATCTTGACTTTTTCCCTGAAAAAAAAAACATCCTTTGCCTTGATTCAAGGACACCATACTTCCAGTACAGTGCCGTGGCCCCAGAGAAGAAAGAATCCATACACTCAAGGCCTCATTCATGCAAGCACACTGCTGAACAGTGGATGGACATTGGCCTGGGCCTCCTGGGAGCCGTTTCCCCAAAGCATCAAAAATACTCGTGCTGGATGGGAAGGTGGCTCAGTGGTAGAGTGCTTGCCTAGCATGCATAAAGCCCTGGGTTCAATTCCGCAGTACCACATACACAGAAAAAGCCAGAAGTGATGCTGTGGCTCAAGTGGTAGAGTGGTAGCCTTGAGCAAAAGAAGCTCAGGGACAGTGCCCAGGCCCTGAGTTCAAGTTCCAGGACTGGGAAAAAGCAAACAAACCAAAAACATAAAAAAATATATATACTCATGCCTCAAAAAAGAATTGGCTTTCTTCTCCCCATAGCATCCATCCCAAATTTTTGCGTTCTTGACTCTGCATTTCTTTTAATCGACAGATACCATTGATCTAGGATCTCAGACGGCTTCAAAGACCCCTCTGTGTCCCATAAAGCCCACATCTTCAGTGGTAAGATGTGTGGCAGTTGAATCAAAGACAGCAGAGACAAGGTTGCATCTGAAGCTAATATCTTGAACCCAGAAATTACTTTTAATCACTCTTTTTTTCTATCAGAATATGGGTGTCTTGATTTAGATTTAAGATGAACTAGGTTAACCATCTCTGAGCTGCTAAGAGGCAGATTCATGGCTGTACTTGTTCAGTATACATCTTAGACTGTGGATCCCAATCAGACAAGCTATTACAGCCCTGTGTTTTTTTTTTATGAAAGCTATCTTGTTAGTATACTGAAGGTACAGTTGATTGCCAGTGTACAAAATAGATCTTGTGTTCTTTAGCTTACATTTGTGATATTCTTAAAATAAAGGGCATGCTTACTAATAAAGTAGTACATAAGCATTTCCCCTGGATAGCTAACCTAGGAAGTCCCATTCTTCCTCTTTCTGTTTTCTGTATTCTGTATCCCTTTCTCTCACCCTTCTCCTGACAGAGAAAAGAAAAAGACTGCTTGAACAAAGAGTGAGGCTAGTTAAAAGAAAATAAAGTTGAGTTCACTCTTAAATAGGTTGTTACTTTCCTTACTTTGCCAGAGAGTAGCCATTCTGGAAGAAAAACTGGAAATAAGTCCTCCTGGATGACGTATGCCTTAAGACTGTAGACTGTGCTTTCTGGATAAGAGAGTACATCATAATGGAGAGGCACTGCTAAGCCATTTGAAGACCGGGAGCCTTCCCCTGGAGAAGCCCTGACTTTCTCAGAGCTGCATGCTGCCCCCTACTGGCCCACATGCACAACAATGTCAGCCCATCAACTATATTCACTTCAATCCTACACCTGTGTGTGATGTACCAGTGAACACTGAGGACTTCATTAAAAAATATTCAATATCATCAAAAATATATACTAAGATACATACTAACTAAAGATGATTAGGAGAAATGAATTAATTTCCCTTTGATTCCTGGACACATAGTTAAAGATGCCCTCATTTCATATCTGCTGCTTCAGATCAGTTGTTCAACCTTCTCATTCTCCACATTAGTAGCCTCACATGGCACTGGCACTCCTCAACAAAGCAGTATCCCACCTGGAGTTGGATCCTGTTGATAGGCTTGCTGTTCAGAGAGACCTTCCCTATCAGAAGTAGTAAAGTAGGAAATACACTGAAGTTGTGGATCAGTGTTTCAGCAAACGATCTGAGCACTATTTTAGCCTGACACTTGGCCAGATTTGATTCTACATATTAGGTAAACACATCTGTTTCAAAGACAAGGGAACTATGTAGTAAAGGGGAGAAGACAGTGAATCAAACAAGTAAACGGAGCTGTGTGTCTATGCACGTCTTCTCTTTTAGCAATTTGCCTTACATGTTAGTCCTTTGTGAATCTTAAACCCAAAACCAGGTGCATTTTTCCTGACTTAATTCTCCTAAATACCTAAAGAAGCCTAATCGTCAGATTCTGTCTGCAATCTGGCATACTTACTGTGAAAACACTGGAGTGAAAAAGCAGCAAGCCAGGTAGGCTAGTCCCTTCAATATCAGCAAGAACTCAGGGCCTAATGTTTTTGAATCAGAAGAAGACTAAGGAAAGAGTATTTACTTTAAAGAGATTTAAGGACCTGTACTTTGTTTAAACTTTCCTGAACTTATACCCTGAAGATGTAGAGACCCGTATCTACTAAAATTTGTAGAGAATGAGCATTTTTGCTTTCATATAGAAAAATGATAGCACAAAACAATGAATAATATTGTTTAGATTTATCTTTGCAAAGTCATCAATGCCTCAGCTTAAACAAGGTATATATTCGGACTCATACTTGTTCAGTCAGTGCCAACATATCTAATACTGCTTCAGAGTTTGGTAAGAGAAGCAAGTCACCATTTACTTCTGATTTTGCAGTGATAGAAATTACAGCATGCTTATAAATAATTTGAAACTGTCCTTTCAACTACTATTTGAATTTGCTGGGTCAATTATTTTGTATTTTTTGACTAGCAAATGCTTTTTCACTTATTTCTTTTGTGATATAAAAGGAGAAAAATTCATCTATGACATTAAAATATCCTCTCCCAAGTGTAATATTCATGATCATTTGCCATATCTACTCTTCGACACATTTTTTAAAATACCCTGTTGAATTATTATTCACATTAGTTCATGGTCCCAAAATGTAAAGTTTTTATGATCCCATGTATTTCCCTAGATTATGAAAAAACTTAATGATTTGATTTAAAACAATTCAGGCAGGAATCTGTGTGGCTCATATATGTAATGCTAGCTACTCAGGAGGCTGAGATCTCAGAATCCTGGTTCAAAGCTAGCCCAGGGAGACAAATCTAAGAGACTTATCCCCAATTAACCACCAAAAAAGTGGAAGTGAAGCTATAGCTAGAGCACCGTTCTTGAGCAAAAAAGCTAAAAGACAATAAGCAGGCCTTGAGTTCAAGCCCAAGTACCAACACACACACACACACACACACACACACATCAGATCAATATAAATTCTGCACAGTAATACACGGAGCAAATACCTTCCTTAAAATTCCCTTATCTCTTTTGGTCAGGCACATATCTTGGGATAAGAATTGTTCTGAAAAATTATGTACCACTAAGTCATGAATTGACTGTGAATCATGGATGAATGGTTTGGATATGATCTACAGGAAAGTCATTAAGAGTGCCATTTAGACTTAAGATACCACACTTGATTGCCTTGCCCACACCTGCTGCATTCTCTTCTTGAACTACAATCCTTATTTGTGCAAACAATGTGTTTTGATATGCTAGATGCCAGTGGATCACACATCTGATCTTAGCTACTCACGAGGCTGATATCCAAGGATCATGCTTCAAAGCCAGCCTGGGTAGACTATTATATCCAATTACCCACCAAAAAGCCAGAAGTGGAGCTGTAGCTCAAATGGTTGAGTACTAGTCTTAAGCATAAGAACGCAAGGACAGTGTCCAGACCCCGAGTTCAAGACTCAGGGTGGACATTAAAAATTTTTAAAAAGGAGCTTTGATAGCATCTCACAGCAGTTGAATACCAACTGTACATGAGAGTTGTCTGAAGCAAGGCAAGTCTTTTAACCATTTATTCTATCTCTGTTGGTTGGCTTAAAGTACTTAAACAATGTTAATTTAGTCACAAATAATCAAAAGGGGTTAGGTGGAGAATTGTTATATGATCATATTTAAAATTCTGAATCAAACCTATGAAATCACAGGAAAATAAATAGCTTCAAAAATCTTACACCTCAAAACTAAAAGGTGTAACAAGACAGGATGTACTAAATAAGTCTCCATTTTTTAAACAACAGTCTGACTACATGGTGCAGGCTAGCCTGGAACTCACAATCCTCCAGCCTCAGCTTCCTCCAATTGATCCATAACTTTTTAACATGGTAGCATGTAAGGGATTGAAACTCTTCTTATCTGAAGGTGCAAAATACAAGTGTCTTCCATTCATAAGACAAGGTAAAAATAACACACATGCACAGAAAAAGTCACAGATAATCACATTAAAAGATATCAATCACCTTTCTCTTCCTTCTTCAACCACAGCATAATAAGTACACCTTGGCTAGAACCTTTCAAAATAAAAACCCTGCCCAACTCCACTGTGCTGCCTTTTCCTGTAGGGAGAATATCACTCTGATAGGTAGGTGTGAAATGGTCAAAGACTGCTACCTAAACAATACATGCCCTTTGACTAGCTACAGGTCATCATTCTAGTGAAGATCACCTGGAGCGATTCTAGTTACAGATTACAGGCAGCTTGTAAGTCCTGTGGTTAATGAAAACAAAGAGATCAAGGTTAAGGTCTTTGCCTTACACCTACACACAATCCAAGAGGTGATTAAACCTTGTGTCCTCAAAAAAAAAAAAAAAAAAAACACCGGGCGCACTGGTCGCTGTAATTCTCTTGGATGGCCAGGCAAGAAGACACTCACCCAGGGTTTTATGCTGACCGGCCACAGAACAAAGTCCAATTCCTTCTAAGTGCCATGTGAAGGTAGAAATCAGAAACCATGCCTGAGTCAGGTTAGTGGTGGCAAGCGGCATACCTGCAAAAGATGTGCTGAAGCCTCCTTCTCTTCCTCTCCTCGTCCTCCTGGCGTCCTTTCTATCAGTGCCCCCTCGGTTTTTTGCTTTCTCGGGTAACACAGTCCAAAGCCTGGGGGATGTAAGTTTGCTCTCTCCTGGCTGCAGTTTCTTTCAGCAGGTCTGCAGCGGGTTGCAGCCGACTAGGGTGAAGTGCGCCAGGGCTCCGGGAGGACAGAACGTGCCTGGCCACCACCACCACCAGCCCCGGCTCGGGCTGCTGTGACTGCAGATGTGGAAGGAGTCAGGAGACAGCTCTGGCTGCTCTTGGCGCTGCGTGGGGATATTATCACAGTCTGGGATTTCTATTGGCTCTGAATACCAAACAAATCACACCAGCCGCCCCCCCCTCCCCTTCTCCCTTTCACTCAGCACTGGTTTCTCATCTAACCCACAAACATTGCAGCCACACACACTTCAGTCGCTCGCAGTGTTTCTCTTTTCCTTCTTCCAGTCTGTGGATTTACAACCTTGTGGTCAGCGCTAACATTTTTGTTAGCAGACTTCCAATCCAAACGTTTCTTGTTTATGTAGAGAAATTCTCAATCCCTTGAACCCGCAAAAACCGCTCGTTCCCTTCAAATCCTCTTCCCCCTTTGGTAGATGGGTTTGAAATGTGAGGAATGCAGAAAGCCTGTGTGTGATAAGTGGAACCTTCGCGCGCCGCACACATGCGCTCTCTCCCTCCCTCTCTCTCTCTCTCTCTCTCTCACACACACACACACACACACAGAGCCAGGCTCCTTTTGTTTTGAATAATTGAGGTCAGGGAAACTAAAAGCAAGCGGACCCTAATAACCCAAGTGAGAGTTTAATAAAATCTTCAACGAACTCAGTGCAAAACGCTCATTGTTTGTACTTATTTTCTGTTCCAACTAGTGCTAGATTATGGTTACCTCCTCTCCCTCCTTGAATTCAGGGCTCTGCCTCGTCTTTTTTTTTTTGGTTTGGTTTTGGTTTTGGTTGGTTTGTGAGGCTTGAACTCTGAGCCTGGGCTCTGTCCCTCAGCTCTTCAGCTCAAGTCGAGTGCTCTACCACTTGGGCCACAGCACCACTTCCTCTCTATGTTTTTTAGATGGGGCCTTTATACCATCTCTCAGATTTTTTTGCTCGAGGTTGGCATTGTACCATTTGTCCCTCAGCTTTAGCTTCTGCTGCTTCTTCTTCCTCTCCTCCTTGTCCTTCTAATTCTCCTCCTCCTTCTTTTCCTTCTTCCTCTTCCTTCCTTCTCCTTCTCCCTCTTCCTCTCTCCCCTTCTTAAGGCCAACCGGAGATAAGAATCTCACAGATTTTCCTGCCCAGGATGGCTTCTAACTGTGACCTTCAGATCTCAGCCTTCTGAGTATCTGGGATTATAGGCATGCACCACCAGTTCCTGACTAGTCGTGTTTATTCAATACAGAGATTTCTAATTCAAATCAGCTTCCTGGATATCCAAAGAACATGGAAAAGGATACCTTACCAATTCTTGGGTTCTGTGAACTTGGTGGGTTCTATCAGCACCCTGTCTCTGGACAGACTCCTGGTGTCATGTTGGAGAGAACACGTCTAAACTCAGCTGATAAAGGTGCTTATAACTCAATAGGGACTATAAACCTTTGGCTCCTCATTGGAAAAAGAATACAAGAAAAGGTTCCTGAGGTCTCCCATGATGCCTAGCTGGAAAAAAATCTCACCTTTCACCATGTTTTGTAAAACAGATCCTCCTTTAGCCTTTTCTTCAAATTAGTTTCTCTGGCATTCATGGAAATTTCAGTCACAGTTATTCTTGACAAGTTGCCATTGCTTTGGAAATCACTGAGCTCTGTTTAGATTTTGATCATAGCTTAACAATGATTTAGTCCTGCATGATCCCCATTTATATATTAGGTTTATAATAATTGGATTCTTGACAAGTCATAGCAAGTTTTTCAATGACATCATAGAAATTTGTAATTAGCTTTTGCAATTATCACCAAACATTTTATCTTTCTTTTCTTACTTGGATATTCTAAGTATTCTAAAATGGAATCTTTTTACCAAATGGTCCAGCTGCCCCATACTCTGATTTCTCTTCAGATCATATGAATATACTGCCTTTTACAAAATGAGCTACCCTAGTATCATCTAACATTAACAACAATAACAAAAAAAGCAGCACAAAACCAAATTTGGCTGCCAGTTCCTGCTAACCACAGTCCAACTTGATATGATAGGATCACTTTAACAACCTTTCCTACAGGTAAACAACTAAAAATTAATAGTATCACCATAAAGCTTTAAAATATAGAGTACAATGAGTTTCTTAAACACATTTTTATTAGCATCAATTGTACAGGGCTATTTCATTTGGGAATATCAGTCCATCTATACAAACAGTGTACCTGGATCAGATTTACCCTTCATCCTCCCTCTTTCCCCACCCCTTACCCAAACCAATCTCAACAAGCTTCATTGTTCCAGGTTCACACATGTCCATAAAGTACTGTGATCATGTTCACTACCTATGAATGTCTATTTTTTCTTTTAAAAAATATTGTAAAAGTGATGAACAGGGGAGTTCCAGTTATATAAATAAGGTCATGAGTACATTTCTATCAAGCATTGTTACCTCCTGCTTTGTTTTTCCCCTACCCTCCGTTCCCTCCCCACCTCCCCACATTTCTTTTTAAACAGTTACCCCTCCCTCATTTTCTCCCACTTGCTACTCTACACTCCCCTCCACCAAGTTCTAAAAGTTTGTTTCCAACATAATGTCTAGTAGGTATCATTGTTGTATTAGTTCATCTTTTCTCCTGCTGTTTCTGTGCTTCCTTTTCCCTTCTATGCATCAGATAAGCTTATATACAAGACAGAGGGTAAAGAAAACTAAAACAGAATGAAAAAATAGAAATAACTACATACAGGGCATAATAAGAACCTCTTGTTTCCAATTCTTGGAGTTCATTTTGATATGCTTCATTATATATGGTCTTACACACTTAGCAATTTGGATATTGTGATCCCCTACAAAGAATATCATAAGCATATTCTAGTTATTACAAATGAGGGAAACCATGAAGCCTATTGTGAATTTTTTTAAGGAGCTCAAAAGTCCAACAAAGAACAGACTCCTAGGTAAGATTTTCTAGATTCCACAGATGGAAAAGCATAAGGTACAAAAGTAACTTGTTAGAGGTTTGCTGAAACTATTGGAAGTTAGTATGACTGCTTTCTTCCTATCCTACAGCAGATTACCCTCCTATGCAGACTAAATAATTCAAAGAAAAGTGAATGATTAAGTTAGCAAATTCTAATTTTTGCCTTCCTTTGCACACAAGAGCTAACAATTCATGAAAACATCTCTTCAACCATATATATATATATATACATGTATGTATATATATACATACATATATATAGTAAATAGTAAAGATACTGTACAGAGGGGTTACAGTTACATGAGCAATTTATATGAGTCCATTTCCTATCGAACATTGTCACCCCCTCCTTTGTTTTTCCGTTACCATCCCTTCACTTCCCTTCCCTTCCCACCCACTTCCCCAACTCCTCCCACTCCCCTACCCCACAAAGTACTAAAGTTCGTGTTCAGCATAGTGTCTTGTACATCTCATTGTTACAATAAGTCATCCTGTATCCTTGTTTCAACATTTTGTTATTTCTCTTCCTCTCCTCAAATTAGAAAAATGTATATAGAAGATGGACACCAGAATGAAATACAGTGACAACAGGGGTTATACCATGGAACATACAAAGAAACAAAAAAAAATAACATAGTACATTATAAGTTCATTAAAAAGAACAAGAAAGATAAAATCTCCTGTGTCCTTATCTTGGGGCTCATTTTGCTTAGCATACATTTTGTACATTATTTCAGAACCAGTCATATCTCCAGACAACTTGCCCATCATTTTCCATTTTAGAATAAAAGACAGTGGCAGTTAAAAATCACAATAACAAAATAAATCCACAAAACTACCACTGCCCAAAACACAAAAACAAAGAAACAAAAACAAAATAAAGCGAAATATGTTCAGAGAGGTTCTATTAATTGCTTTTTGTTTCAGGTCTATTATAACACCTCATATCACCAAAAATAATGTAAGTAAAATCATAAATAACTTAGAAGCACAGATAAGGTGGTAATACATTCCTATAATATGGACACTGAGCTGGCTCAGGCCGGAAGCTCTGGAGATTGAGACCAATCTGGGTTACATTGAAAAACCCTACAATATGCTGTTAGTTCATGTGTGTGATCCTACCTACTTATGAGGTTGAGGTTCAGAAGATTGAGATGCAGTCAGCCCAACCAGAAGAGTCTGAAAGACTCCATTTCCAATGAATTAGCAAAATATTTGGTTGGAGGAGTTGCTCAAGTGGTAAAACATCAGTCATGAACAAGTAAGCCAAACAAGAGCACAAGACCCCAGGTTCAAACCTTCACACTGGCATGAAGCAAAAATAAAAGAAAAAGAAAACACATACACAAAATCTTATCTTTAAACATAAAAGGCACAAGGTCAGGCACTGGTGTCTCATGCCTGTAATCCTAGCTCCTCAGGAAGTTGAGATCTGCGGATCGTGGTTCAAAGCCAGCCTAGGCAAGAAAGTACAAGAGACACTTATTTCCAAAAAAACCACCAGATAACAGGAAGTAGCACTGTGGCTCAAGTGGTTGAGCAGTAGCCTTGAGCTGAAGAGCTGAGGCCCAGAGTTCAAGCCCCATGATTGACAAAAACAAAAAACAAAAACAAAAAATACCAAGCACAGATTAAATTTTCAAATTCAGTTTTCTCTCCTCTGGGTAATGAAGAGAAAAACTGGGTGATTTAAGGGACAATTCTTACAAGGAATCAGTTCAATGATTAGGGGGAAAATGAATCATCAGCATATTTTCTTATTTATGCTTTGACCATGTGCTACGTTAAAAGGCTGTTTTTCCACAGATATTTTTCAAATGCTGGATTTCACTAAGCCCATAGTAAATGACACTGGAATTGTTATAATAGTCTTGCAACTCAATAGGAGCAATAGTTGACCACTGTGCAAATTAATGGCGAAACAATTTTATGTCCTCTTCCCCACACTCCAGCCATGTCAGTATCCTTCTATGTGACACTTTTAAACAGCAGACAGTC